AAAAAAAAAAAAAAAAAAAGAGAGTCATTATGTTCGAGCCACTAGATGAATTGGATTGGGAAGATCTTGTAATGTTGGAGGGGTTGGAGAGGAGTTTGACTCCATGGGAGCAAAGTTATTTGGAGGAGTTGTACGAGCGAAAGGAGGCCGAAGAGAAGCTCCGAGAATCACACGAGCGATAGGCCAAGCGTAAGGAGGAGAGGGTCGCGATCAACTACTTAGGCCCGCCTATGCTCGACGATCAACCCGATGGTACACGCATAGACGTCCAAGAAGTCGAGGTAGCCGAGATCTTGGACGTGGTCCGTGAGAAGGAGTCGTACATGATGTTCGAAGGAGCCGAAGTGGTCAAATTCGAAGAGAAGATCTTGTTCATACTCGACAAGGGCTATGACGATACGTATAAGAAGGACCATGCGGATGCAGAGGAGGCAACGTTTCAACTGGTGGTGGTCGAGATCGAAGAAAGAGTGCCCGAGGTTTGGATGATCGAGGGTGAGTCCTTGAGGACAAGGACATTCTTAAAAGGGGCGGGAATGATGCAGAAGTGAGTTTCGAGCCCCGACGACGAGAAGGTCCAAAAGCCTAGACGACCCGAGGAGGCCGAGAAAAGGGCCAAAACCACGCATGCATGGCCTAAACGATGGGTAAGAGCTCGTATGAAAGACACACGAGCACGCGAGAAGATGGTCTCAAGGCTAGCAACGCTCACACGCACGGAGAGGTGCGTTAAGCAAGGGTGCGCACACGCGCATTGGCATAGAAGTGCATGGAGCTCGGAGAATAAGCGAAGTGGTTCACAGGGGGTGGATGTTGAATGGTTGATGCGCGCGCGACTGCTATAGATGGGCGAGCGCGAGCGAGCGCTCGGGGGGGCCAGGCGACGAGCGAGGCGCGTCGGGCGAGCAAGGCGCACTGGGCGACACGCGCTAGGCTCAAGTCAAGACTAGGGAGACAAGCCTAATCCTCGTAGGAATAGGCAAGGCGCGAATACTAATCCCCACAGGAATAGAAAAAGCAGCAGAGTGCTGGAAAGCGCGTGAAAGATCGGTGACGAGAGTAATCCTCGAAAGACAAACAACGTAGCCGGGAGCATATTCCTAGTAGGAATAGACCAAGTGGATATGGGCTCGAAGCATGATCCTTCAAGGAATAGGAATGGCATACGCACGGCGCAAGACCTTAAGCCTCGAGGCGAGAGGACATACACGCATGGGGGAAGGCGGTGCAGCCCTAGTTCTCAAGGGCTAGGGCAAGGCGGTGTTGGGTTCGTCTGTAATGTACGATCTATACGCAGCGGAATTTAAAATTTTTAAAAACATGTATTTAACAATTAAATACATAACTCGTACATACATATGTCGAATAAAAAAATCGTCATCTTTAAAAACATGTAATAATAATAAATTTTGATTTATTATAAGTAATTTCAAAAATTACCTTAGTTCTTGAACTCCTTCAAAATCGATGATGATTGAGGAAAT